ATTTACTTAGGTTATTATTCGTTCTATAAGCTACGTTTACGCCTTCTTTCTTCAAAAAACGGGCAATATTCCTGTTTGGTTCCCCCACATATGTCAATGTCTTATAACTCACGTTATCGCATCTTGAATATGGGTAGACCAGATCCATGGCTTGCTTTTGTCGTTTTTTGGAAAGAATGGAGCTTACAATATCTACCTTATAACCGTTATTAATCGCGATTTGTTTGATCAAATTCAGCTCTTTCTGGAAATCCCTATCAGACAGTGGAATATTCAATAATCTGTGAATCATACTATTGAATGCAGCAACTTTATGCTGGTACGGGTGTGTGGAGGAATTATGTATGATAATGTCCGTGTACGATGGTTTGTGGAAAATTGCAAACTCATGTTTATTGTTATTTTTCGTAATGGTTAAGTCCAGGTAATTTATTGAATTATTTACCTCCCTCTCAGTGGTGAATTTTATTGACGGGTGGATGGAGTTGGCATTAGGCTTTTTCGTACTTTTACTACATTAAACTTGATCAAACATAGTCATTTTGTAAATTTTATACATTGAATTAATAATGTATACATATTAGTATATACACTTACTAACTTACTTTACTTACTTAGTGAAGAAATAAAAACCGTTGACAGTTGATTTTCTGTAGTGAAATACCATTTTTCAATATGTCAACTAATCTCTGCCTAATATTTTTCTGTCGGAATTTGAGTTTTAAATTGATTATGAATATAGAAACCATTCTATATTCCAATTCAAATATAAATTGTATTGCAATAACTTTCACATCCACTTGATCTTCATACTTTGATTAGGATAAGAGATAAATCGGAATACTTCAGATTGATATATCTAAAAACCGTTGCATAATAATAATATAGGTATATCTATTAATATTAGGTTGTTTCGAAAGTCTGTTTTTATAAGTCTACTTTGAACTGTAAGATCTACAGTTTGTAAAAGCCAAATGGAATAAATTCGTTATTTCGGTTACCGTACATATTTTAACAAAATCCCGAAATACGTCAAATTTATATTATAATTTGACGGAAAAATGCTACCCCTACCTTTAATCCCCGTCGAATGACAGGTACAACCCCCAATTTTTCAAATGAGAGGTATAGGTTTGTGAAATATCGTTTGAAAAGTCTTTTCATTCTCTATTCATAAATGTTATCGCTTTCAAGTTTATTGCAACAATTGAGATAAAATAAATTAAAATCATATGGTTATCGAAATTCGATAAAATACACTCAAAAACTAAAATGTAATGCAAAACGTCTTGGCAACATCCTAATCTCAAATAAAACTGTTTTCTAACATTATGTAACAAATCAGACGTGACCGACCTAATCGCAACGTTATTCGTTCTTTTAAGTCACTCAAATCTGAAGGTTTAGTTTTGTACACATTGCTCTTCACATATCCCCATAAAAAGAAATCTAATGATGAAAGATCAGGTGATCGCGCTGGCCATTCAATCGATCCTCCCCTCCCTATCCACCGACTGATAAATGTTGAATCGAGGTATTGCCGGACATTAACTTGGTAATGTGATGGTGTTCCATCCTGCTGAAACCATATCGTATTCAATGGATATGAATTTGCTAAACTTGGAATGACATCATTTTGGATTTTTGCCATTCAAGTTGCCCTCAATGAAAAAGGGACCAATGATATGGTTTCCTACAATCCCTGTCCAAACATTAACCTTCTGAGGGAATTGCGTGTGTTCTTCTCTCATCCAGTGAGGATTTTCCGTTGACCAGTAGCGGCAATTTTACCGATTAGCATGACCGTTAAGAGACAAAGTACACTCATTATAAAATATAACGTCTTCTCATTGAATGATATTGTTATCCAACATGTCCATCATTTGCTCACAAAAATAAGTTCTTCTATCAAAATCGTCCTCCACGAGCTCCTGAGTGGGTATCATTTTATAGGAATGCATTTCATTTTTTTTAACATGTTAACTATCGATGTATGGCTAACATTGAATATAGTGGATGCCTTTTTACTCGATGTTTGTGGGTTTTCCTCAAACTCAAGCATCACATCTAATTGGAGTTCATCACTCATTGCATTGGCAGCTGCTTCTTTATCTGCCCCACATGGACCCAGCTCGCGAAACTGCTTCTCTATTTTGCTTATTGCTCCTTGAGATATGGGCGGTAAATTAGGAAATTTCTTATGAAATAGGCGAGCTACTTCATCAGACTTGAAGTTAACAAACTTTAAACATAAATTAAAATACTGACAACTAATGTAACATGCGAAACGAAACAAGTTGACAAGACATTTTAAACTAACGTGGCCACGGAAATTATTTACAGTGTTTTAAAGGATACCATCTAAAAAGAACATTGCTATGGTTTTTGCTTACTTTCTTATTATCAATACCTCAACATAAAATAAGTTTTGAGTATATTGCAATAAGTTTTGAGTGTATNAACACAGCATGATACATTCGTACATACGTTTTTCATTATTTGAAACAAACTACATTATCTTTATAAATAAAAGATAAACGTCTCTTGATAAAAAACATTTCTTCAGTGATGCAAATTGCAGATATTTGAAATTGTAAATATTTACTGACGATTAGAATTATCTACAAAGGTTACTGTGACGTCCTTTATTTATGTTTAAACAGAATTATCAAGAAATAATCATCTTGGTAGACTGTTCTTTGAATGTGAACAGTGAATTGAATAAAAGTTTGGAAAGTGTATACGTTTCAGTTGTTGTAGACTACGATCTTTAAAAATCCTAATGGCTAGTTGATTCTTATCTATGGATTGAAGATGCCATAACTTTATTTTCGAACAATATCTTCTACAACAGGCACATTGTTTTTCTATTGGCACACAGTGTAATCTAGGATCGTTTGAAGAAATTATAGTTCTAAGGTTTCTGATCAGACAGTTGAAGAAATGAGCTAGATACCAGGTAATTTACCAAATATGTTTCCTAACATCAGACATCAAAAATTAAGTAACTTTTAATTCTCTAAAAGATATTTCCCTTTTTTTCGCTGAGGTAAGTATTTCTATGTTAATTCTTGAATTTTGCCGAAAAAATAAAAACCCACTTCTTAAATTCTATACAATTTCCCAATAAACATACATATTTTTGATGATACCTTTCTGCTGATATACAAAAATTCGTTTTTTTGTATTTTATGTTTTTATATTCATTAGCCCATTGCATTTCATCAGTTCGGAGTCCCATTGTCTAATATGATATAAATTGATTTGAAATCTTTGAAAGAATATGTAAAAAAAATAAAATGATTAGCTGAAAAACCAATTTTATCAAGCAAAAAACTGAAATTGAAATAAATAACATTTGTTTTTTTGGTTTGCTGCTTGTATATTATTTCATTGTATTTTCATTTTCTTGCTTAATTAATTTGTTTTGTCAGCTAATCCTTTTAATTTGTTTTACAGATTCTTTCAGAGATTTCAAATCAATTTATATCATATTAGACAATGGAAATCCGAACTGAGGAAATGCAGCACGAACCATTGTCAACCACCTTCAAACAAACATTACACCATGTTATGGAACTTTTTTGGAAGTTAGTATAAATTTCAAATTTCTAAAACTTTTCATCTGCATTTTCAATGAACTATTATAACGGAGTAGAACATAATATTTTCTAGGAAAGAAACTTTTTGGCTTTCTACTACTTCATCTTGATACAAAAAAGGATGAGGGAATCTTCCAAAGAAAGGAAGGAAGTAATAAATTTGAAAAAAAAGTAACCCTACACATGGATATGTAAATCATGCAAAGAAGTAACTTTCAGACACAAACTGAATCTGTATCTGTAGAGTAGGTAGGGTGTGTGTAAGCCCACGCACTTAGGCCACATGTGACCCATTGTACATCCTCCCAAGGAGTTGTCCTCCTAGGTCGTCGTCCATCCTGTCCTTTCCAGGAAGGTGGACAGGTCGCTGGGAGACATCTCCTTTATATCGGCAGGTGTAGGCCAAGACTCGCCGAACACACACTCTCTTATTGACGATAACTCCGGGCACTCGCACAGGACATGCCTGACAGNTTTTAAATACTTATATACGCCTTGAAGCAGCTCGTCATGCGACACGCAGCTGAAAACTGGACTGAGAACAAATAAATTTCCTAAAAATTATATCCGGTTTCGATGCTATCAATCACTTTCTCATATAAGAGTATGTGACACTGATTAGTGAAATGGTCTGATCGAAATGCATGTTGATTTAGAATGAGTAACTTTCAAAATATTGGGAAGAGGGAAAGTTTGATTGCAGCTCTATGAGTAAGGGTTTTGTCTAGCAAAAAAGTTAGAAACTAATGGGAGAAGAAAATTGGATCCATTACTTGTTTATCCAGATTTTGTTCGTACATGTCCTACAGAAGCAGAAGCTTCTATCAATCTAGATTCAGAGTCTCCTTCAGGAAATTGGGAAGCCGAAAGGTTTGATTGGGGATCTATTAGTAAGGGTTTTGTCTAGCAGAAAAATCGTTATAAACTGAAGAGAGAAGGAAAATTGGATACATTGCTTGTTTATCCAGATTTTGTTTGTACATGTCCTACAAAAGCAAAAGCCTATCTATCAATCTCGATTCAGAGTCTCCTTCAGAATATTGGGAAGTGGAAAGATTTGATTGGAGCTCTATAAGTAAGGGTTTCGTCCAGCAAAAAAATCATTACAAACTGATGAGAGAAAGAACATTGGATCCATTACTTGTTTATTCAGATTTTGTTTGTACATGTCCTATAAAAGTAAAAGCCTATCTATCAATCACGATTCAGATTCTCCTTTAGAATACTGGAAAGCGTAAAG